TACTGAGAGAATAAAGGCGTGTTCAACACCGCTATTGGCAACCGGATTTCTACAAGAGATAAGTTCACTTACCCTCATTGCAGAGGGTATATGGTATAGTTGCCATATTAAGAGGAAGTAAGTATAATCAGCACTATTACATGCTTATTAGCAGCGTACCGTATAAACCTCCGAATATAAGCCCCCGCCGAATATAAGCCCCCAGTATAAGCCCGTGTATAAGCCACACCATGTACTAACGCTCACCTCATTCCAAACATAAGCCCCCTCCCCCGAATATAAGCCCACTTGTTTATCAGTTATCACCCTAACACAAAAGATCGTCCATGTATAAGCCCCCCCCCGTATATAAGCCCCTCCTTGTATAAGCCCATCAAAAATCGCTTACGCAAAAATATAAGCCCCGGGCTTATAGTCGGAGGTTTACGGTATTTTGTTCTTAATGCTGAATACCTCAATGGCCTTGGCAATGTTCCTCGAGCATATTCTACTGGGAAGGATTGGTCAAACTCTTGCAATCGGTGAACTATAGAACACAAGCTAGAACTAAGATTATATGGCGATCGATTGTTGTAACATATTGTAATAGAGAATGCACAAAAAGGCCGGGGTTGCATGGTGATCACGATCTAATTAATGCTAAGTGCTTACCCATGATTTCATGATAATCTACAGGGTGTATAAAAAAAAGCGCAATCCTCGACTGAAATGTAAATTGCTAAACAAATAATAGACGAAAACGTTAAAGTTTACATTCATTTTAAAGCGTAGCCATTCAGCTTTCTAACAGTGGGTTGTTTCTTAAATTTGACTCATTGGTTCGCGGGTAATAATACTTTACGTTATTGCGACTGGAAATTAATAAAATTGAGATGGAATAACAAATCGTTCTCATGAAAAGAACTGATTTTTTCATTAAAACAAAAAAATGTTGCATTTTATTAAATGGATTGTAACAATAAGTATAATTACGGCTTTTCTTCCACTATTTTTAACTCAGTTTGAAACTTCAAATGCGATATAATTTTGGCTTGGACCATCTAAGCTGACTGACATCAACTTGCTATAATTTCTGTTTACATTACATCGCAGTTCGATGACACTCTGGTTCAGACACCCGAATGTTTTGACGATTTTTAGCATTCGTTTAGGATTTTCAAACAACCTGCATGGTCTCTTTTAAAATACTTTTAATTTGTTCTTACGTGGTTTTCCAGATGTAGTGACGACAACATTAAAGTTTAAAGAAGAACATTCTAACATTTAAACCGACTAAACAATAACATAGTAAACTTGCATAATTAAACAGCAACTAAAAATGATAGGTTTTACTAAATCTTTTCCTGTGCAATTATTACTAGCATTAGAGACAAGAATAATAGTTTGTTTGAAAGAGAAAAGAACAGGCTGTGAAGTAAGCCTAAAAGTGTTTAACTAGAAATAGTATTTCGAAAGTTATTAAGCACAAAAGATGAATTGCGTTTATTTTGATACACCCTGTATAATACTTGATAAAACCATGCAACTCTCTAGCCTGTGTGTCAGTAACAGTGTAGTCAACTGGAACACAGGCTATAGTAACACTATACGTACTACTGTGTACTTACTGTAATTTTCGATGTTACAAAATATATTTTTATATACAGTTCATAATATTGTTTGATTATAGCGTACTTGGATGACGAATTGCCTGCAGAATTATTGTTTAGCTATTTCGTTTTAGCGTATCTTATTCAGTTGACGCAACATCATTTAACCAACGAAAGTGCGCGATGTTTCGTACTCCGACTTTGACCGTTATTTACTGGTTGTTATAACTAAAAAAATTGGCCAAATCAACCAAAATATTATTGGTGAATATCCGTACCATTTGTATTATAGTTAAAACAACCTATATTTATTTGGTTGAAACATGCTCAATTTGACAGTTTAAATTTTAGTCATTTTAACTTTTGAATATAGGTTGGAATTACTTTTTTTAATTGGTCAAAATGACCATAAATCTTTAGTTCAATCAACCAATAATTAATACGTTAAAATGACATATTACAGATTTATAGGTTAAAGTAACCATTTTCGATGGTTTGTTTTAACCTATTTAATTTTAGTTGTTTTAACCTATTAAAACAACCTATTTCTTATGGGTATAAACCAACCCATTTTTAATGGTTTGTTTTAACCTATTTAGTTCTGGTTCTTTTAACCTATTGAAATAACCTATTTTTATCGGGTTGTCCTAGACCAAACCAAATAATCTATTTTTTTGGTTATTTTAACCTATCAGTTTTTACAGTGTAACGCAAAAACTATAAAAGCTAATGCACTCAAATAATCTTTATCGTATTCAAAAAGGGCTAACTTAGATTTTGATATATAACATTTGAATATCCCTGCAATATTGACTGAGCTATCGATGTTTTAAATCGAATAAGCATATTTGACAATCTTTTATGTTAAAATTTGCATAAAATTGCCTATCAAATATTATTTGGTAAAACTTGATTATATAGTGTTATTGTGGCGAAAAGAACAAATGAAAAACATAATTGTTGGATAAACATTTATTCATTCATCATAGAAATTACGTCCTCTTGCACGTATACAATGCCTTGCATGGAAAACCATAAACCAAAACTCTTTGATCTTTTGTTAATCGAGCCATATTCGAAAGGCGAACGACGCCCAACTTTATAATACGAACTCCCAAAGGACGTCAAATATGCTTTCGAACGTTTCTAAATGTTTCATGCTTATTTCGCTTCCCAACAAACATGAAAGGCTAACTTGCTAGGATATTGCCCGAAATTAAAGTTGAGTTGAAATGCTAAAATTAAAATTGTTAATTTTTGTGGAAAATGGCAATTTGTTTTCATATAAATTTGATCAGCCATGTTTTTTGATTTTTTTACTCATTTCTAAAGCGTGCGCCACATTCGAACGCGTAATATTACATGACATTTTTAGGGCTGTATATCAAAATTTAAGTTAGACTTTCCTCAATACAATAAAACTTATTTGAGTGTAATAGATTTTATAGTTTTTACCTTACATAAAATCAAACACCGCAATTTTTTTTTGGGACACCCGGTATATATATATATTGTGGCAAAATAAATAAATAAATAAATAAATATATAATATTGAGAGTAAAAACAAGAAGCTAAAATATGTTAATATCTATTTTCAAATGGAACTGGATCTTAAAACATTAAAATGATGTAAAAGTTGTTGATCCACAGATTCTCTTTTGTATTTAGGGGGGGGGGGGGTGAATAAGTTTTCGGATCGTCGGATTTCACAGAAAAAATTGTTTTTCGGATCTGGGGAACATTTACACGGATTTGCGGATCTTATTAATACAGCGGATTGCGGATTTATCTAATATTTTGGCTCGGATTGTGGATTTAGCTTGTAATTTAGTTCGGATCCTGGATTGTGACTTCATAATAGAGCTATTAGCGGATTCAAATTTTGACAAGACTATAATGAAGTCTTTGTAATAAAATAATATATTTAAATGATTAATGTGAATGTCCTAGATCCGTCCTCGCTTTCCTTGCTCGACACAACAGTACATGTGTTCACTGTCCCGTGACTAGATCATGTGACCTGTACGTCAGAATACTATATCCCTCCTTTCCTTTTTGAATAAAACATTCATAATTAACAACTCAACAACTAAAACTTCAAGTTTGTATAGGTTCATACTATGTCTGTGAACTATTATAAAATTCTGGACTTCTTCTGTTCCGAGTTGGATATCTGCGCGTCAATTCCGTGTTAGGCATATCACCATGAAAATCCTCGATAATTTGATCTTGTGGTTCAAGGTTTGGGTTTGGGATTTGTTTAAACACTGAAACATTTCGGGTAATGTTGCCGCTATCTTCGCTAGTCGCAATGATCATTGTCCCTTTTATTTCTGCTACTCTGTATGGCGTTTTACCAAATGGTGTAGATATCTTATTTTTCTTTTGCTGTCGGACTAAGGCATACTCTCTTATTTGAAGATTAATGTTCTTTGCATGATTCCGTTTGTCCGCATATTTCTTCATCTTCTCCTTTCTCTTAGAGTCGTTGTTGATAGCTTTTTCATGGCTGTCTTCGACGTCTGAGGGCATGGGGTCTAACCGGTCCACACTTGGCAGTTTATTCCGAATTTTTCGATTGAATAGAAGCTCTGCCGGGCTGATACCAGTTGTGCAATGCGGCGTTGACCTGTAATTCAAAAGAAAAGTATCTAACTCGTCTTGCCATCTTCTTCCTTCGATATGGGCGGCTCGTGCAGCTTTTTCTAATGTGCACATGAAACGCTCCGCTTCGGCATTAGCTTGCGGCCAGTAGGGGGTGATTTTCCTGTGGCGAACACCATTTTGATTTAGAAAAGCATCAAAATCTGCAGCGTTAAATGGGGGCCCATTGTCGCTTGTCAATTCATCTGGGTAACCGTGTCTGGCGAATATTTTTTTGAGACGCGAAACAATTGCTGTAGTGGTCGTACTTTTCATTATTTCTACCTCCACATAACGAGAGTAACCGTCAATAACGACCAGAACAGTTTCTCCAGTGGGAAATGGACCACAAAAATCAGCGTATACTACGCTCCATGGTTTGGATGGCATATCAGTCATGATTAACGGAGACTTTGGCTGTGGTACTTGGATAGTTGCTGACTGGCAAGGTAAACATGATTTTACAAGACTTTCTACAGCAGTATCTAGACCAGGCCACCACACTTTAGTGCGTAATAGTGCTTTAGTTTTTGCTATACCTTGGTGCTCTTCATGACCAATGGGCAAAGTTCTACTCTGAAGAGACTTTGGAATAATAATTCGAGTGTCACGTAAAAGTATACCATTGTTAGTAATAGACAGTTCGTCCTTTAATTTATGATAAGCTGTAACATACCTGCAGTTTGGATCATTTTTTTTCATACCAGTGTCCTGTCTGCACTGCTTTGATCACAGCTTGTAACTCAGAATCAGTGCTTGTCTCAGCAGCAATCTCCTCTAGAGCCATTGATTTGGGGACAGCATGGCTCTCAATAAAGTTGATATACTTGTCCGCAGTGTTAGCAGACCATTCACAGGTTTCTGTTGGTTTACGGGATAACCCATCAGCAGGGTTTGACGATCCTGGTCGGTATTGCACTTGGTACAGGTACTGCTGCATTCGGAGAAGCCATCTCTCAATGCATGGTGGTGGTTTGGATTTAGGGCTATAAATCAGTTCAAGTGGCTTATGGTCAGTTTGGAGGGTAAATTCGTTACCTACAAGATACAAATGGAAGCGTTCACAGCCCCATACCACTGCAAGGACTTCTTTTTCTGTCTGCGAGTAGCGGCGTTCAGTGGGGGTAAGGGTGCGACTTGCATATGAAATGTTGCGTATGGTACCATCCTTTTGTATCTGAGACAGTATGACCTCAAGACCGACAGGACTTGCATCAACAGTCAGGGTTGTTTCTTTGGCAGGATCATAGAAAGCCATGCTGCAATCCTCTGCAATTGCAGTCTTAATTTTCTGAAAAGCTTGTTGGTGGATGACAGTCCATTGCCATTTTGTTGACTTCTTGGTCAGTTCGTTCAGAGGTGCTGAAAGAGTGGCAAAATCCTTGATAAAACGAGCGCAGTAGTTAGCTAGACCAAGGAAACTTTGGAGCTGAGCAACATTCTGTGGAGTTGTCGTTTTGACTATGGCCTCAACTTTCTTGGGATCAGCAGATAGACCATCTTTGGACAAACTGTAACCATAAAACCATAAACTTGGTTGTATTCACATTTATCACCATTCAATGCGAGGCCCTTGGCATCTAGGCGCTGGAACAAACTTCAAGATTGCGATCATGTTCTTCCTGGGATTTTCCCCAAACTATGAGGTCATCCGCTATGTTACGAACGCCATGAAGACTTTGAAGTGACTGTTGCAGGACATTCTGAAAAACTTCAGACGCAGAGGAGATACAGAAGGGTAGTAAGCCTTCATGTGTGCAAAAGGTGGTAACAGATCTCGATTCTTCTTCCAATTCAATTTGATGGTAGCCAGCGCGAAGATCTAATTCTGAAAAGACACAGGCACCAGTCATGTCCTCCATGAGCTCTTCCACGGTGGGAATAGGGTGCCGTTCTCGAATTATGGCTCGGTTGGGTTGTCGATAATCACCACATACTCTAACTTCAGATGGGTCGTGGGGTTTAGGTGCTGCGACCACAGGCGATACCCACGATGTTGGACCTGATGCACGTTCTATGATATCGAGTGCTTCCAATTCTTCAATTCGGGCAGATACTTGCTTACGTAAGTGAAATGGTACTCGCCGAGGTTTTTGGGCAACTGGTTGTATACTAGGGTCAAGATGTAGCTTTTGTTTTTAATTTTTCAGTTTACCAATGCCAGTAAATAGGTGCTGAAACTTTGCGACCAGATCAGATGTGTTGCTTGATGTAGAACTAGGCATGGTTGTTGTTTGGTTGACATTAACATGCAAAAGTCCCAGTTCTGTTGCGTCTCATATCCCAACAATGACCCAGAATTTCCTTCAACAACATGAAATGTTGCAGATGTAGTTTTTGTACCATTATAAAATTGAACTTCAAACTTGCCGGTAGTGGGTCGAGGAACTGTAGAGTTGTATGGGTATATTTTGATTGACGTAGGTTCTAGTTGGAGTTTCGCAGTGTTCTTTTGAATACGTTCAAAACTTGCAGAATCTAAAATATTTGTTGTTGCACCAGAGTCAAAAACTAACCTTATATCCGTTTCGTTTATTTTCGCCGTCACGAAAACACCCTTGTTTGTTTTGGTTACCTTCGTTGGGCTGAACTTGGATTGACCTTGGGTCAAGGTGAAGGTGTATTCGTCGCTGTCGTCATTCGCCGAACTTCCGGTTCCGGTTTCTCTTGGCGTTGTTATGATTGCTTTAATAGAGTTGTCGATTTCATTCGATTTTTCCCTATTTTGTGCACGAAATTCTGGCTTTCGCATTGGGGAACTGCGGCAAACTTTGGCAAAATGGTTGAGCTTTCCACACGAACGACATGACTTTCCTTGTGCTGGGCAAACTTGTTTGTGACCTGGAAAATAGTTGCTACCACAGTTAAAACAGTTACCAGTATATTTTCCGGATATATTCGCTGTTTTGCTTTCTTGTTGAAATGACTCGTTCTGGTCGCCACTTCGAGAACGACTGGTTGTAAGTCGATTCAGTTTGGTATATTCTTCGTCGGCCATGACACTGGCATGACGATTAGCAGTTTCCTGTGCCCGGGCTAGTTCTTGTAGCTTTTCGAGAGTGAGTGTCGGCTCACGAAGTAATTTCGCACGAAATACCTTTGACGGCCAAGTGATTACAAAATGATGTCGAATTTCATCTTCTACACTCGCAAACTCACATGTATCCGCTAGCTGTCGAAGACGTGTAATGAAATGATCAACCGATTCGTCAGGGCTAGGTCGGGTCTGTTTGAATACATATCTTTCGTAAATTAAATTTTTCTGCGGTTGAAAATAACTATCGAGTTTCTCCACAGCTGTTTTATAATCTGTGCCAGTATCGGTTAACGTGTTGATAATCTTATGAACTGCGGGACCAGCAACGTAGAGTAGGAGAGCACGCTTTTGTTTGGCATCCGTTATATTTGCTGCAAGCAAGTACATGTCAAATCTTTCACGCCAGTCTTTCCATCGTTGAGCTAAGGACGACTTGTCACTTTCGGCATCAAAAGCAGGCGGTGGTGCCAAATGCGTAAGTTTCGTTGCCATATTTCTTGAAAATAATCCTCGTCGCCAAATATAATGAAGTCGGTTTGTAATAAAATAATATATTTAAATGATTAATGTGAATGTCCTAGATCCGTCCTCGCTAACTCGCTTTCCTTGCTCGATACAACAGTACATGTGTTCACTGTCCCGTGACTAGATCATGTGACCTGTACGTCACAATACTATACTTACGACTATTCATCATTATTTAGATCACGCTACATATCTCAGTCCTGATATCCAGAATCATATGATAGAGGTAATTGGTTCAGCCATATCCAAAGAAATTATACGACGTGTTAAAGAAGCTACGTTCTTTGCAATCATTGCAGATGAAACACCCGACAGTGGAAAGATAGAACAGCTGTCCCTGCTTGTTCGCTATGTTCGTAATGGAACTATAGAGGAACGCCTTTTATCTGTTGAACCAATGGATCAAACTTACTGCCGAAGCCCTTCTGCACACTAACCGCGACAAGCTGGAAGAAGACTTGATTTAGTTTAAGTACCATATTCTTTATTGTGCTGCTTGTGCATGTAAATACCAATTATATATCGTATACTTGCAAATTATGCTTACGTATGTGTCGACTACAAATTGTAATGCTGTTTATGTGAGTATATCGACTATATGTCAGTTTTGGCTACTATAAAATTACAACTCGACAATTTGAATGGCACTGTTTGAAATATATAATCAAAGCCCTAGGCCTAGTTCAAGTTCAAACGTCAAACGCACATAAACCTAACTCAATTGTCAAGAATGTTTTCCGTAATTTAACCTAATTTGCATTGATTTTGGTTCATGTGAAGTTCCAGGTTTGAACTTGGCCTGAAACTTTTTGATGCGTCAAATTTCAGTTTAGTGTAGTCTATTTATTTATTTATTTATTTATTAACTTTGTCGGCATAAAATTCCACAGAGTGGCCGGGACACCGCAACAGCTTATTGCCAATTACTGCTGGCCCAATTGGATACAATCAAACAAACAACAGACATTCAACTGGACAGACTAACAAACCTACGAACAAACAATATTAGTTACTAAAAGCAGCAGGATATCGGATATGTAAGACTTCGTACAGAGTTACATTTCAGGCATATAGTTTTAAATGTTCGAGGATTATCAGGATTATAATTAACTTCTAAAGATTTGTGATAGTATTCCAGTAAGGCTGATCTAAAGGAATTGAAGCAGTTCGTGTCATAATTTAGTTCATCTACGAGAGCGTTCCATATTCGACACGTTCTGACAAAAAACGACTGCTGGTAGGTATTGGTTTTACATTTGCGGACGACATATTTAGCGTTATTACTTGCTGATGATCGTGTCGTTTTTTGCATAATATGAATGTCAGGAAGAGCAGACATTTCCACCAAACCGTGTGTGATTTTGAAGAAGAGGATCATGTCTAGGTATTCATGCCAGTAGGATACGGGAAGATGCAAGGATTGTAATCTTGTTTTATAGTCTACGTCTGTCGAGAATGGCAAGTTCAAAATATATTTTGTTGCCCGCCTCTGAGTTCTTTCTAAAATGTCAATAAGTTCAATCGTCTGCGGTGCCCAAATCTGGGAGGCATACCCGAAATGAGATCGAACCAGTGCAAGATACAATGTTCGTCTTGGGGCAGTACTTTTGATGAACATGGTATTTCTTCTTATATAGCCTAACAGTTGGTTTGCTTTTGACGCCTGATGGTGAACTTGCGTTTTCCACGTAAGGTTTGATGCTATACATACACCAAGATCTCTTTCAGTGTCGGTTGTGTTTAATTGGTGATCGTTTATCATATATGATGATGTTACTGGTGTAATCTTTCTCGTTATTCGTTGCTGCTTGCATTTCTTTTCATTGAAGGTCAAACCAGATACAGATGACCAGTGTTCTAAGTTTCTAAGATCACAAATAACTGTCCGACCATTCAAATGGTCTACCTCTCATTCCATATTTATATAATTTTGCTATTAGTATTTTGTGGTTTACTGTATCGAAAGCTTGAATTTTTTAAATTTTCAGTTATCTCTAGTATAGCTTGTTCAGTTGAGTGCCTTTTTCAAAAACCAAATTGAAATTTAGTTAACATATCAAATTTCTCTATAAAAAATATCAGCTGGTCATAAATGATTCTCTCTAATGTCTTGCTAAAAGGTGACAGGATTGCAATTTGTCTGTCATTGCTAGGATCAGTCATTGTTGCATTCTTATAAACTGGTGTTATTCTAGATACCTTAAATGCATCAGGAACAATACCAGTAGCAAATGATCGATTGAAAATAATTGTAAAGGGTACTGATGTGGAGCTGCTACCAGTGTAATCATTTTATTTGGGATTTCTAATGATGATTTAGCTTTATTCAGTCCAGAGGATAGTCGACAAACATATTCTTCTGTGACAGGTGACATATAGAAACTTGATATTTGGGAATTATTTATGTATTTAGTGGGATCATCATTAGTGCTAGGAAGGGGGCAAGGGGGGGGGGGTCTCGTCACGAAATCACGAAGATCATTTTTCGATTTCACGAGTCACGAATAAGAAAATTTCATTTCCACGATTTTTAGAAACACAAAAACGTAACAAAGTCTGAAATCATTTAAAAATTTTCTGGACTGCAGAACTCGATGTTAACAGAAACACATTTTACTGACTTTAACATTAGAGTTTATAAAGGACTATGGAATAATTGCGAGGCATTACGAAACATTACGAGCGTCTTACGATGGTTCACGAAGACGTACGAAGGTATACGATACTGACGTTTACCGATGAAACGAAGAAACGTCAAGAAACAACTGCGAGAAGCAAAATTTATTCATTCCCCCCCCCCCATAATATTAAATTAGGGCCGAGTTTTAAATGTAAACATTCGAATGTTAGGGGGAAATATTGGAAAATTCAAGACCCTAGCTAGCCTTTTAGCTTGTCACGATTTACGGCACGCATATTAATTACGATTTACGGAATGGTATTTCTTTAAATCACGACTCACGAAGCACGAAAGATTGCCACGAGTCAACAGAAATACCCTTGCCCCTCTTATGAATCTGACAGGCTAAGTTAGGGTAGGCATTGACAAAATGCTGGTTAAACTGTTCCGCAATATCAGATTGTGTGGTGCCAACACCTTATTATTTCTAGCAATTCTAGAAGGAGAAGACTGGCCTTTACTTTTGCGATTAATTGATGTTCCAATCAGTTTCCATGTGCTCCTTAATTAAATTGTCTTTACATGCATAACTGAAATTGTTGTGTATAGTACTCTTTTTGTCTTAGTTTTCAATTTATTTAGTACATTTGAATATGTTTTATATCTAGAGATTGTTGTTGGGTCTTTGCTCAAAAAGTGTAAACGCTATAATTTTTGTTTAATTTTAATTGATTTAATGAGTCCCTTAGATAGCCAAGGCTTAGCTAATTGCTTCAATTTGCTAAGCAATGTCTTTTTTGGGGAGCATGTTTGTTAATAATTTATGTGATGGTATTAATACATTCAGTAGTCTTCTTTTGCAGGTTTTCATGGTTACTGAATATTCCTGCCCAGTTAATCGAATTCATATCATCTACATACTTTGTCTCATCAAAATGACTGTAATCTCTTAAGTAGACAATCTTCTTAACTCTGTTAGCTGAAATAGCCTACCACTTATACAAAAGACAGGTAAATGGTCTGATATATCAATCAAGGCAATACCAAAGACAGTATTCTGTATAGTAGTGCAGTTATATACAGGGTGTATAAAAAAAGCGCAACCTCGGAATTTCCCAACAAATCGACATTGTTTTAAAGACAAAAGATTTTAGGCGCCTGCATGGGAATTTAAAATAGCATAACTGTCAAAATTACTGCACACGCGAGTGCATAAAGCAAAATTTATGCATTTATTTAATCACAACAATAGTAATATGATCTATTAGCAATTCGATTTCAATTCCCAGGGGCCTAAAATCTTTTATGCTTAAGAATTGCAAAGTGATTTCTTAGGAAATTCCGAGGTTGCGTTTTTTTTTATACACCCTGTAGAGTAAATATGATCAATTAAAGTGGAAGAATGCATGGTTTGTTATTCTAGTTGGTTTGGTTATTAAAGGAATATAATTTTTTGAGTAAAGCATATCTAAATTTTCTTCATTATTTGTATGTTCACTATATTTAAGAAAATCAATATTCATGTCATCCAGTATAATTACTTCATATTTCTTTGTATTTAGCTGTTTAATTATACTGTCTAATTCAGATAAAAATTCTTGTA